ATTTGTTCACCTCTCAGTGCACTCACTATCATGAAATGGTTTTCACAGTTCGTTTTGTTTTATTATTTTAAATATAACCACATAACCACATGTCTAGCTTTTTACCACAGAGCCTGTCTAACCAGCTGTGCTGGGTACTTTCTGTCAACTCGACATAAACTAGAAACACCGGAAGAGGAGCCCTCAATTGAGGATTGTGTCCATTAGATTGACTGTGGGCATGTTTGTGGGGATCTTTTTGGTTGCTAATGGATGGAACTGGGACTAGCCCACTGTGGGCAGTGCCATCCATGGGCATGAGGTCCTGGATTGGGTAAGAAAGCAAGCTGAACCAGCAGGCAGCTTTCCTCTGAGGTTCCTGCCTCTGCTCCTTCTTGAAAGCCTGCCTGGCCTGACTTCCATCAGTGATGGAGTGTAGGTGGGACATGTGAGCCAAATCAACCCTCTCCTGGCCAAGCACTTTGGGAAAGTGTTTTTATCAGAGTACCAGAACATAACTAGACCAGGTGTGACTATCTCTTTAAATGTGTGGTGCTTTGTGTACACATGTATGTCAGAGTATGTGTCTCGTGCCTGTATGAGTACAAAGAAAGATGTCAGGGTCCTCTACTGCTTTCCATCTTAGTCCTTTGAGATAGGGTCTCTCCCTGAACCTGGAACAGACTGTTTGGTTGAGGCTGCTAGCAGCAAGCATCAGCAGTCTTCCTGTGTCTACACTAGGATGCAGGCACATCAACCCCACTCAACATCTTTATGCTGGTGCTGGCATCTGAACTCAGATTCTCCTGTTTGTTCAGATAGTGCTCACACCCACTGAACCATATCCTCACCATCCTAAAATAAAACTTTAAGTGTTTGTTGTTTTTGAGAATATGTCTCTTCTCAGTTCCATTGCTTTGTCCTGTGTTGCCATCCTTGAAAGCTACTATGTCAGGTAGCATGGTTTGCATGTAATGCCTTCTCTGTTATTACTTTTATGAACACTTACAAATTCTGAAAGTTTTAACAGAGTCTTGTATTTACCTGACAAAAAGTAGCTGCATGCCCCCTTTCACTTGAAAGATCTTCTCTCTTTTTTGAGTAGTATTATATTCTATCATGGTATAGAAGCCATACTGCAATTAGAAATAATAAGAGATAAGGAACTATAATTATTTCTACTATGAAAATTGAAAAGAAAATAGAAAACAAGATCTGAGTGTTTCAGCATCTCAGCTGCGGATGCAGTGCAGAGTGAGAGCCTATTGTAAGAATGGTAGCTGGGTTGTGGTGTGTGAGGCAAGGTTCTGGTGAGTGTGTTCTTAATAATCAAAAAGAAATTCTTACTTGTTTTCCAAATACCATTAAAAACCCATTTGGCTATGTAGATTAAAATATCACTGATAACCTCTGTTGGTTTGCTACGTCTCCATGAAAATATGATGGTGCCAGTTTGACTGTCCTCACTTGGAAGATAAAACACTGGCAGCATCACACTGCAGTCAGGCATGGTTAACAACTTGAAGAGCACACAAATATTGATATTAACACAGGATGAGAACTGCATTCTCAAGAACCATACAATACAGTTACACACACATAAACACATGCGTGTGCAAACACACACACACACACACACACACACACAGAGAGAGAGAGAGAGAGAGAGAGAGAGAGAGGGAGAGAGAGATAACCATAGTAGAGAGAGAGAGAGAGAACTGGTAATGGTGTGAGTCAAAGCCTGCCACAGCAATGGAATTTCTACACCAAGGCCATATTTTCTAATATCCCCAAGCAGCAGCATCAACTGAGAACCAAGTGCTCAAATACATGAGCCTAACAGGAACATAGTTACTAAAAACCACCAAAGGATGGTGGCATGGGACACAAATATGAAACAGAAACTCTATATTCTCTAAGTCCACAGAAAATGGTGCTTGCAGAAATATGACATTGGACAGAACAATGCAGGTATAACGGTATGTATTCCCCAGCACAATTGAGAAGACTGGTGTTCTTGTGTCTGTTCTGTGTCCTTCAGGGGAGTCTTATGCTCTCTGGCTTGCTGGATTGCAATGGTCTGGGGGAACAGAGAAGTCGGGTCTTGATGAGTTGAAGCATTTTCTTTCCCAGGTGTAGAACATCAGTACAGATGTTAGGGGAGCTGAATAAACTCTCTGCAAATGGTGAGGACTGGGAGACACATCCACATACTAGAGGAATCTGAAGCAGTTTGTATCTACGACATTTACAGCCTCTGAATCCACTCTAATGTGTGCTCAAGGGAGCAAAGCATTGTCAGGAGCCATTTCAGGCTTTTCCTTTCTTACTTCTCACAGGGCCTTGAGGTGGAAATCTTGAGACACAAAACTTACAAAGTTAACTAAGACCTTGTATGCTGAGCTTGGAGATTCAAGCTTCAGAGGGCATCTCAGAGTGTCTTCTTTGTTTGCTGCTTATCACTAACAGCAGGTGCTCTAGCCACTGACCTTGCAACTGCCCAGCTTAGCTGCCTAGCTGCCGAGCCCCTCCTTTCCTTCCTCCCTTTCCCCCTTCCTCAGTTCCCCCCTGCCGGAGCTCCTCACTGAGGAGTATATAAGACATAAAACTTGCTTCAATAAACAGGATGCCTTGACAAGGAATACGCCTTGGCATCCATTTCTCTCCCCCCCCCCCCCCCGCCCCATGTCTTTCAAATAGTGCGTCTTCAAGACCCAGGAATAACTTAGGACCTGCTGGGCGGGTCAAAGCATTGTGGCTTTGACCCCTTCACCATACAGTAGTGGGAGGAGCCCAGGAGTTTCTCTCCAGAAGGAGTCTAAGCATGGGCTCATCTCTGTGTGGAATCTCAGAAAGTTATTGACCACAGATTAGATATCATTGAGGTCATTTGCTCAAGGAATCCTAGGCTCAATTCAGCCTCCATCCCAACATCTTTGATGCTGTTTGTTGGATGAGTTAACTACCTTTTGGTAGAAAACTATTTTATCTCCTCTCTAAAGCATAAACAATAATGGTTTTCAAAGTTATTTTAAGCTATAGAACCTTTTCCTCAATGTAAATATGACATCTAAGCTGAATATGCATGTGACCATATGAAATTTAACATGCATTTTCTTTGATTCTGCACTCTTCTTTGTATTTGTTGTCTCCAAAGAAGCTGGATCCTTAGTCTGTCTCCAGAGCAGGGTTTATGTTCCCGTTCTCTGTCAGAAGATGTGTGCCACCTACATTTCTTCCTAAATAAAAGCTTGAGTTTGAAAGTTACCTGATACAAATGGAGATTTTCTTCCATTTCCCATAAGAATGTGACGCTCTGTCTGTTTGGGTTAAGCAGGCATTAAGCAGTACCTACCATTCATATTATATGTTAAATGACTGACAGGACAGGACCCTGAGCCAAGGCTGCTTTGAATTTTCTGATTATTAAATTAATTTAAGAATTCTTATTTGTTTGTTTGAGACAGAGTCTCTCACTTATAGCCTTGGAGTCAGCCATCTCCCTGTCTCTGCCTCCCCAGTCCTGGATTAAGGCAAGAGCATTCATGACTAGAAGCTTCGGTGAGTCCAACATAGGGAGACTTTCATTTAAGAAAAAGCCAAACATTCTTGCTACAGTCTCATGCCAAGAACTGCCTAACAATGAGACTTAGGAATTATGGATGCAGCAGTAACCAAGAATGTCAAAAAAATCCCAGGAACTTCTCCACACCATTTTTTTTATTTCTCTTTCATGGCCTCCTGATTCCTATTTAATTCTGTTTCTGAAATATGTTTCTGTATATGTGCATCTCATAGGATTTAAATCTGCATACTGATTCTGTTATCTGCTACCTTTCGAATAAATACAAACAGGCCGTCTTAGTTGGGTTATTCTCTAGTTACTGCCAACTCCTGATGGGGTGGATGCTGATTTTCTGAATAATTTCCCATAGAAGCTAACTGCCTAAGGCCATTTGTAAACCTCATACACTTCAGTGTTGACTGATGGAAAAGTAGAGATTTTCGTTCTTTTGCCTCGGGGATGTCAAAGACTGACTGCAGGGCACCATAGCCTAAAAGGCTGCAACGATTGAGATGAACAAGGTCAGAGGAGATCGTGCTGCTGAGAGACTCCCCTGCTATGGATGCTGAGCACAGGAGGAGGTTGTGGGTGTGAGTGAGCTGACTGTGAAGAGCTTCCCTAGATCTGAGCTTGTGGGAGGTGGGGTAAAATGTGTTGGACAGACTTTGAGAGCCCTGGCCTGCATGGAACCTCTATGATGACACTTCTGGTCTGGATATTTGTGAGCCCCCTCCCTGACGGGTCATAATTTAGGCTGACCCCACAGGTATGAGACTCTAATGAATTGGATCACAAATGGATCTGGGTGTCCTAGAAAGGGGATAAAAAGTAGGGACATGTTCAGATTAGCTTGGACTTTAAGCATAGAAGCTGCTAATTCATAGGAGGTGGCAAAAAAAGAAGGGGCTGGAGGAAACTTGGCCCTGTTTCCAGAAGAGGATACCAAAATAAATTCTAGATGTAAAACAGACCTTTCTGAAATTGCTGTTACTTTAAGGATGAAGCTGTGGGACAGATATAACCTATCCGGGAATGACCATTGACAGTGACCTCAGCTCTGTCTTCATATCTCCAGGACCAATGGAGCTTTTCCTCTCTTTTCTTCCATATAACACAGAGAAGGACAAATGTTCACCCGGAGCACCATGAAAAGAGACACCCAAGCACAACTTTGGGCCTGTCAGAAGGACCAGGACTGCAAAGTGAGACCTGTACAAACACGGTGTGCAATGGCCATGCCTGAGATTTGGAGAGAGGATGTTTTGGAGTGAGTAGAGAAGAAAAGTAGGACATTGGTCTGCTAAGCACAGAGTTGGCCCCTGTGAATGAGCAGGAAGACAGTCTTTCAATGCTGCAAAGTGACGTTTATTGATTTGGTGGCTTCTGTCCTAGGACAGTCCTGGACTCAGCTGTAGAGAAGACGGTGAGTCAGGGAGGGGCCTGGTTTGCTCTGTAGTTAGCTATGTTTTATCATTTTCTGTATCCAGGATAGGAAACTTGACACTCTGGTATAGGTTCCTGGTGCTGAACCATTTTTATCGACCAAGGACACAATGCCTACAGCTCTGTTTTTACAAACGATATGCCCTCCAGAATCCCCCTGTGAATGGAGAAGAATCAGAGAGGACTGAGCTTTTGTTCAGCCTAGTCCCAGCCTCCCTCTCATGTCAGGACTCCCTTCCAAGGTGTATGAAATGTGTGTTGAGAGAAATGGAGGGCATGCCTGGGGTCCCTGGGGTTCCCATTGTGATTGTGGACAGGATTAGGGCTTCACCTCTCTCCTGAGCTCATACTCTGCCCTTTCTCCACTGTGATGATCTACATCCTATGAAGGTATGTGGGACCCTCAGCTCCAGGCCATATTCAAAAACATGGGGACAGGTGAGTGAGCCTGATGCGAGCATGGAGAATTAGTCTGTTGACAAATGTGGGTGCCTGCTCTGAGGAGACCCCTGTTTATGAAGCCGACACACAGATGGAGCTCTGCTTTCTAAAGCCTGGGCCCGGGAGTCAGGAGGGCTGTGCAAATTCTGCTTTACGCCAGCTGCCTTCATCAAGGCTCTTTGTCAGGTCTGAGGGCCTAATTATTTACTGTGACCTGTGTTCCCAGGGAATAAGATAATGGCCAATGGGGAAAAGAGTCCCTTGATGTTTGGTCACTAGGTGCCAGATTGCTCTTCTCCTCCCATGGAGCCCAGAGAGAAGGACAATCCAACTTACGTAGGCAGAAGGTCGGTTGATCTTTGGGTCCCCCACACAGATCGCAGTAGCTTTGTTGTAACGATGTGGAAAGCGGGACTCACACTCCTCATCCTTCTGGACTGTAAGCTCTACCGCTTGCAAAGTATCTAGGAGTTTACCATTTGGATCCACCATTCCCCAACCAGCCACATAGCACACGTCCCCTGGCTTCACATGGGCATTACTCCTGGGCAGCCTGAGGGGCCTCACAGCATTAGTCCTCTTTGCCCTCCTCTCCAGCTGTGGGGGAAGAAGAATGAGAGAGCAGCTCAGCCAGGAGCCTGGTTCCTGGACCCAATGAAAGCCAGGATGTCAGGGAAAAAAAGAACAGATGAGAGGAGGAGCGGAGGGGCAATCCCTGCAGCAAGCAGAGCACAGAGAGCTGTGCTGAGAGTTCTCACCTTTAAGAGCATGATGTCACTGGAGTCATCCTTAAAATTGTAGTCTGGGTGTGGGAAGGCTTTAGCCACAGGGATGGTCTGCTGGGTCTCCTCCTGGAAGCTGATGTTGTGGGCTCCTAGAGTGACTCTCATTGAGCTGCAGAGAGCAGAGTGCAGATACAAGATGTGGAGTGAGAGAGGACGCAGTGCAGGAGCTGTAAGAGGCTGTGTGGGCAGGGTGTGGCTCTAGCTGAGGGGACTGAGGAGACAGAAGGGCCTCAGGGTGTGAACCATTGCTCTTCCCTTTACAAGAACACTAGACTCCTGGGAACTTGCTCTTGTTTCCAGGCAATATTCCTAAGTTTGCAATGACTCTGAATGTGCACTTTCAACCTCAGCCACTGCTGTAATCTGACCAGTGTAGTTGCTTTCAACTCAACTGTGCTGCTGCCTCTGAACTCTCACCCTTTGACCTCAAAGTTTCCATGATGACAGACTTCCATTGTCATAGCTCTGCCCTGCAGTGAGCTCTCAGAGGAGAATCCACGAATAGGAGATGGAAACTAGTCTTGGGGAAGCATAGCTTTTTCTCCTCACCTTCCCATGCAGTGAGCAGCTGTCAGCACGAAGTTGTCTTTTACCAGGAAGCCTCCGCAGTTATAATTTTTGCCCTTATCATTCACATATTCAATAAATGCCATGTAGGGGCGGGAGTGGAGCTTGACCTCATGGCCCCCGATGATCTCCTCTGATAGAAAAGGCTAGAATATGAGGTGTCTGGGAGCAGAAGATGAGGTAAGAGGGAAGATCTAGGGAGAGGTGAACAGTGATATCTGCAGTTCCCCAAGACTTTTGTAGACAAAATTCCTTGCACATAGAATGATCTTTGCTGAGTCCGAAGCCTCAGTGCCCTATCTGAGAAGGGGTGAGTAGGACTTGTAATCCAGCCCCTGCTTTACGAATACATGGAGGGACAAACTTCTTTCTTCATGGTTCTAGAGACGAGGGGATCCTGAGTGGCTCATGTTAGTCTCTCTCAGGACATCTTTCCTGTCTTGATTTCTGCTAATTTCATTACCTTTTACCCCAAGGTCTTTAGAGAGGGATTTTCTTTTTTTTTTTTTTAACTTTTTTTTTTTATTGAGAAAAGAGAAAAAAAAAAGAAATTTCCTCCTCCTCCCAGCCTCCCATTTCCCTCCCCCTCCTCCCACCCTTCTCCCCCTCCTCCCACTCCTCTCCCCCTCCCTCTCCAGCCCAAAGAGCAGTCAGATTTCCCTGCCCTGTGGTAAGTCCTAGGTCCTCCCCCCTCCGTGCATTTCTAGGAAGGTGAACATCCAAACTGGCTAGGCTCCCACAAAGCCAGCACATTACGTAGGTTCAAAACCCCGTGCCATTGTCCTTGGGTTCTCATCAGCCCTCATTGTTGGCCATGCTCAGAGAGTCCAGTTTTATCTCATGCTTTTTCAGTCACAGTCCAGCTGGCCTTGGTGAGCTCCCAATAGATCAGCTCCACTGTCTCAGTGGGTGGGTGCTCCCCTCGTGGTCCCGACTTCTTTGCTCATGTTCTCCCACCTTCTGCTCCTCATCGGGACCTTGGGAGCTCAGTCCAGTGCTCCAGTGTGGGTCTCTGTCTCTGTCTCCATCCATCACCAGATGAAGGTTCTATGATGATATGCAAGATATTCGTCAGTATTGCTATAGGATAGGGTCATTTCAGGTTCCCCATCCTCAGCTGCCCAAGGAACTAACGGGGGTCCTCGGCTTGGGTATCTGGGAGCCACTCTAGGTTCAAGTCTCTTGCCAACCCTAAGGTGGCTCCCTTAACTAAGAACCGTGCTTCCGTGCTCCCCCATCCAACCTTCCTTCATCCCAATCCTCCCCCTTTCCCAAGCTCCCCCACATTCTCCCCCTCTCCCCCCTCTCTCCCCATCTCCCCTTACCCCCATCCCACCCCACCCCCAAGATCTCAATTTTCTCCCCGGCAATTTTGTCTACTTCCCATAGCCAAGAGGACAACTATATGCTTTTCCTTTGGTTCACCTTCTTACTTAGCTTCTTTGGGATCACCAAGTGTAGACTCCGTGACCCTTGTTTATGGCTAGAAACCAATTATGAGTGAGTACATCCCATGTTCATCTTTTTGGAGAGAGGGATTTTCTAAAGTTCTCCTTTTCTGGTGCTCTCATCATATCCTAGGTTCTCAGTAAATGAATTAGTTGCATGGAAGAATGTTTTTTACTGAGCTGGAGGGCTAGAGGCTCAGAGCTCAAGGGATTCAGAGCCTAGGGGATATTGTAGGATTCAGCTGGTGTAATGGCAGTAGGTGGGGACCTACAGAAAGAAGTGGAGGGCCAAGCAAAACTAGACTGCAAAGGTAATGGATTGTACAGAACAGGCATCTTGTCACCCTGGGCCTCTAGATTTAGTAGCCTGAGGGTGGAGATTAATAAATACTGCTCATATTCTTCAGCTGGTGGGCTTATGTCATTGCTGACTGGTCATAAGAGCTGCCCTGAGACTGGGCTCAGGTAGAGTTATTGGTATACATTTAGTAACTTTGCATTCTCTGCTTCATCTCTTTTGGGGGATGATCCACTCTCTAGGGGACACAAAGAGCAGGGAGAAGCTAGTGCCCACCATGTCCTCTGAGAACACCGCTCTTCTTCAGACCTTGTTGACGATCTAGCCAGTGAAAAGCTTTCAGGTCTAGGTTGGTCTAGCACCTGAGGTTCAGGAAGCTCCTGGTTCAGTGCAGGAAGTTCCTTACTAGAGTAGGCAGAGACTACACAGAGGTATTATGGGATGGAATCTTTCTGGGACAGGGGGTTCACTCACCTGCAGCAGCTCCAAGCAGCAGAAGAAAGGTCAGGAGAATCAGGACTGGAGCCATCATCCCAGGAAGGCTCTTAGGTTGGAGGAGGGCAGAGTGGACTCAGCCCTTGAAGGATGAGGAGGTGAGCGCTCAGTGACCTCACAGGCCTTTTAAACCTGTGCACCTCTGCTCTGGTTGGCTTTAGTAGCTAAGGCAGTTTCCTGGTTTGGGTAAAAATGTCACTCTCACCACATGGCATCCTCTGAGCTAATCCTGGATAAAAACCAGCAAAAGAGAGTGTTAATGTTGTGGTTGAGGAGGGCCTGAGACCCCAGGAAGTCCACTGTGCCTGCACTGAGACAAAAGTGTGGCTTTTGTTACCTCTTACATTTTTTTCCATTGTGGTAAGATGTTTTTTACTTTTGTTTTTTTTTTCTTTCTCCCTTTTTTTTTGAAAAAATAATGCTGACACCCAATTTACCACAAAACAGCTGTGGCACTACTTATACACAGACACAGTTATACAGTACTTATTAAAAGCTGATACTTGTCCTATCTGGAGAGGCAGAGTTTCAGTACATCTTCTCATTCACCTCTGAGACTTCTGATCATACTGAGGAACATCTGTTGGAACAGTCTGATGAATTAATCTTCACTCACTCTGACTCTCCCAAACTGCTAGGGTGTCACAGAGAAATCCTAAAGCAAGTGAAACCTAGTGACCAATGATCGTGTCTACTGTCTTGTATAATTAAGTACACTAACAAATCACAATAGCTTGTATTGGTTACCTGTTTACTTTGTATTGGCATTCATCTTTCAGGAGCTCAGTAAAATTAGATCAGCACAGGCTTCCCTGCTGAGGACTTCAGCGGATTTCCTACAGTGTTGCTTTGGATCTTTAATAGATAAACAAGAACCTTGATTAGTCTTGAGTGGTTGTTTAGTGGACTAGATCCAGGAGTGAGAGAGACAGGGATCCAGCTCTTGAAGAAGCTGATAATGACTGGAGTGAGCTGAGCATCTGAGCCTAGGGCATGTGATGAGGAGAGCTGTGTGAGATCAGCTCTAGGAGTTGAGACAGGCTGGCCTTGCCATAGGAACAGAGGTGTGTGTGTGTGTGTGTGTGTGTGTGTGTGTGTGTGTGTGTGTGTTTGTATGTGTGTGTTTGTGTGTGACTGTGTGTTTAAGCATGCACACCAAGTACAACTCCAGAGCACCCTGGGTCCTGTTTTCTCCACAAATTTATGCTTTTCAGAGCTTATTGAATTTCCTCCTTTCCTACTTGTTATCTGTAGAAGCTTTCTTGTCCCAGCTGTTAACTACAGTCCAGATATTAATTGGATCTAAATTAATCATCCAGTCCAGGGGTTGAAACTCTGTGTCATTTTCGGGTCACAAACAAGGCAAAACTCTTCTGTGTCACACATTAGTCTATAAGCTATAATAAAAATTGGTAATTCCTCCCTGAAAAGAAACCATGTATGAACAATACATTACATGCACATACAGATATGCAATAAAATCCTTACAGAATATAATAATCTTAATTATATTGTATCCATGTTGAGGGAATCTTTTAAAACCATGGAACGAGCTCCAATTTAGTGATATCCAATAACTAAAGTGAACACGGCTAAGTAGTAGTATTTATTTTAGTGTGATTTCATCCTAGAAAAAGGAGAGCAGTGTTGGCAAACCCTTTAATGCCAGCACTCGGCAGAAGAGGCAGACACATCTCTGTGAGTTCAAGGCCAACCTGCTCCACATAGTGAGTTCCAGCATGCACAGGGACACACATAGAAACCCTGTTTCAGGATAGATAGAAGAAAAAAAAAGAAAGAGCAAACAAACAAAAATAGTGAATGAGGACAACACAAACTTTGTGGGCCATTTGACATTGCTTTGGAAAAACAAATGGATTTGTTAAACACAACTGGCTTGATGGACAGAGCTCCAATCTCAGTGAATTCCTGAGATGGGGTGAGATATTTTGGTTCTAATTTTACTGTTATCATTTGGAATTATTGAAAAATTAAAATATAAGTATGCCATCAGGTTGCTCCATCCCATTCAGATTCAAGGCCTCTTATTCTTTAATTACCATTCTCTCTCTCTTTCTCTCAATATTCACAGTGATGAAAATATAAATCCAGCTTACAGAGTCAGTTTATTATTGCTTGAATTCTAATTTATTTTAGGTCTGACCACTTGGGATAGGATAACAATTAAAGGGCTCATCTTTGGGGAAGACCATTTCTCCCTCTCTGAGCACTTTATAGTTTGTGGCTCTTCATCTTGGGATGGGGCCCACTGGTATTTCCCCAACCACTTTGGAAGGTCTACTGGTGTTGGCATTGTTCAGATCCTATTTAAGCAGTCATATTGCTGAATTTCACTGGTTTAGTTCCCTCATCATGTCTAACATATATCTACATCAAGGATTTTAACGATGGATTATGTGTATGTGTCTGTGTTCCAGATGGGGGCATGTGCATGTGAGTACACACGCTCTTAGAGGCCAGAGGAGCTGAGGTTACAGTGTTATGAGACATTCAACATGGGTGCTCAGAGCTAAACTTGGGCCCTCTGCAAGAGCAGTCTCTACCATTAAGACCTCTGAGCCTTTTCTCCAGGCCAGTATGCTCAGTTCCTGAGACCTGTGACTCACAAGTGTAGGTGCTATGAAAAGCTGATGGTGTGAATCCAGTGTGACGGTGAGGGTGAGCTCCTGTCTCTGAGAAGGTCCTGTAAGAGACCCATGAATACAGAGAAGATCCTATGAAAGTCCCATAAATGTCGAGAACGAACATGAATGAAAATAGTTTTGGGTTGAAGGCAGGGTTGCAGATCTAGGGATTTTTAACTGAAACTCAGAAGGGAACTTTGGCAGATAATATGTATGCTGATGAAAATGAACTTGTGATTATACCAAATAGTTATATTATTTCTGGAAATCATGATATCTGTGTTCAGATTTTCTGTCAAATGTAATAGCAAGGTCACTGTTTACAAACCAGTAATGAGCTGCATTGAAATGCAATTATTTGTCTTAAATTGAGCTTACCGTAATTCCACCTTCTCCTGGAGCACTTAGGGTATAAAACATGGTATTGATAGGTTGTTTTTTCCATGAAAGTTGAAGCAAACAGTCAAATCCACTAAAAGGTCAATCTGTAAGTGAGTTTTTCATTCCCAAATTCTGGCATAAACACTGTTTACAAGGTTGTAAGTAACCTAATAATGTTTTGGTAATGTCCAGAGAATGGCCACCTTACTTCGAAAATGAAAATGATTTCATCAGAGTTACCATGAACACTTTTCATCAATTCCTGGCATTGGAGATGATTTAATCCCTTGTCGCTTATGAAACTCAGTACTGGAGAGATTACCCAGTTTATAATGATTTAGCATTAAATTTCCTTTTAGAACTTAGCTTGTCGGCAGAGGCGGAGCGGCGCGGCGGCCAGACGCGCAGAGGCGGAGCAGCGCGGAGCGGAGCGGCACGGCGGCCAGACGCGGCGGAGCGGAGCGGCGCGGCGGCCAGACGCGGCGGAGCAACACCGCATACAGGAAGAGGCTTTCGGGGACCGGCGCAGCTGCAGACCCAAGCGGCGGAGACAGGCGTGCAATAAGGAGAGCAGTTTGCCCTACTACAATTGAATCAAAGAGGTAGGCTTTTGGTTGGCCAGGTCACTGGCACAAGGGGAGCCTGGTCCTGTCCTGAAGATCCTTCGGAGGGGTGAGAGGGTTCTTGGCCTGCAGCAGGAACCACGAAAGAGAGTGAGGGCATTTTGTAAGCGGAGCCCTTGGCCAGCAGGGAAACCTGATCCGGCTTTTAAAGGACCCATTGGATAGGATCAATAGGAGGAAATGGGCAGGCGCCAAGGCAAGAATTCACCCAATAATCCGAAAAACAACATGAGAACATCAGAACCCAATGATCTTACAACAGAAGTATTTGAACAACCTAACACAGAAGAAGTGGAAAAAATCGACTTTATGAAGATAATAGAGTCCCTTAAACAACATGTAAAAAATGCCCTTATAGAAATGGATGAGAAGTATAACAAAAAGTTTGAAGAAATGAGTAAATACGTACATGATACCCTGGGAAACCAAGAAAAAACCATCAAGCAGGTAATGGAAACAGTTCAAGAATTGAAAACTGAAATGAAGGCAAAGAAGAAAATACAAACTGAGGACCAGCTGGATATGGAAAATCTAGGCCAACGAGCAGAGTCTACAGAAACAAGCATAATCAATAGAATACAAGAGCTAGAAGAAAGACTCTCAGATGCTGAGGACACCATAGAGAAAATAAACGAACAGATCAAAGAAAACAGCAAAGCCAACAAATTCTCAACACAAAACATTCAGGAACTATGGGACACAATAAAAAAACCAAACCTAAGAATAATAGGAATAGAAGAAGGAGAAGAGTCACAGCTCAAAGGCCCAGAAAATATTTTCAACAAAATTATGGAAGAAAACTTTCCCAACTTAAAGAAAGATATTCATTTAAATATTCAAGAAGCATACAGAACACCAAACAGACTGGATCAAAGAAAAACATCTCCTCGCCATATAATAATCAAAACACAAAATATACAGGTTAAAGAAAGAATATTAAGAGCTGCAAAAGAAAAATGGCAAGTAACTTATAAAGGAAAACCGATCAGACTTACACCTGACTTCTCGATGGAAACTATGAAAGCCAGAAGGTCCTGGATAGAGGTTCTGCAGAAACTAAGAGACCATGGATGCAAACCCAAACTACTATACCCAGCCAAGCTATCGTTCACTATCAACGGAGAAAACAAGACATTCCAGGATAAGAACAAATTTAAACAATACGTAGCCACAAATCCAGCCCTGCAGAAAGTAATAGAAGGAAAATCGCAACCCAAGGAATCCAACACTGCCAACACTGCCTACAATAACCCAGGCATCTAATGACCCCTCACGAGCACATCTCAAAGAAGGGAGACACACAATCTCTACTACCAAAAGCAATAAGAATAACCGGAGTAAACAACCACTGGTCATTAATATCACTTAATATTAATGGGCTCAATTCACCTATA